CATCTGGCCACTCACCTAGTCCAGATCTCTGGTTTATAGGTCTCCTACAGAGTGGGACCTCACGAGCCTTGCTAGGCCCTGCAACTTTAGGATGGAGCTGATGTCATTTGCAGAATCAGCTCTCTGGAAAGAGGTGTTTTTGCGGAGGTATGAAGTGTGGCTCAGACAACATCCGCCAGAGAGGTCTGTGTGTCTCTTCTCACTGAGGCATTCTTACTGTCTGAGCTGGAGTGACGCTCACAGGGTCCCGTCTCCCGAGCACTCGCTGTGTCCTGGGTTCTGGAGTCCAGAGGGGATGCAGCAGACAGATGGGAAGACTGAAATGAAGTGATCTAGGCCTTCCACTGGGGAGGTGGCATGGGGCCGCAGTCTGTCTGACCGAGTGTCTCCCTCGGGGATGGAACAAAGGAACTAACCAGGTGGGTCAGGTGTTAGAGATCAACAGGAGGCTTGAATGTCCTTGCATGTGGATAGAATGTTTGCCTAACACCACCAGGCCAATGACAGTGCCACCCTGTACAAGCCCTTTGTCACCTCCCTGTGATCTCCAGGGATGGCCCAAGTAGTGCTGTGGGACTCGCGTTTTTCTTGCTGGTTCTAAATATTTTTGCAGGCAACTGACTAGCCTCAGCCTCCAAGTGCCACTGTCCTTCCCAGGTTGGAGCTGAGCCCTGGGGCTTTTCTCTGTCTTTACTCTTAACTGTCAAAGCTCCAAGCAGACGGTAGCTCTTTGAGTCCAGGCTGCTTAGTGAGTGCTTGCTGTATACAGATTGCTTTCTGTGTACAGCCTACCAGCTCGGCTCTGTAAATAAACCTGGCTGTGTGTCAGAGCACAGAGGGGCATACCCTCTTAATGCAAATGACTCCCAGTGTGTTGGGGTGGGCAGACCAAGGTCCTCCGCTGTGGCCAGCATCTTAATGGCTCCTGCCACTGTTGGTCACTTCCCTGGAACCTCAGGTACTTTTAAATTACGGAAAATGTAGATCTTGTGGGGTTTGTGGTAGAGGAAATGACACCCCCAGTGAGAGGTCCCCTGGCACCCCCTGGGCTAGGCTGGGCTGGGCTGGGCTGGGCTGGCAGGCCCTGCTGCGGATTGTCTCAGAAAGTGGCCATTTGGTGTTTCAGTGATTGCCCTGACTTTCAGAAAAAGTGAGAGCTGCTCCATTTCCCTGTGACAGGAGCCCTCAGTGCGTGAGAGAGCGCTGCTCTGGGACAGAGTGAGTTCACAGGGGACAGCAGCTCCAGGACCCCAGAGCTGCCAACAGTCACAGCGCACCAGGGGTTTGATCCTCAGCTTAGGCCTCACTGGCAGCATGAGCTGTGGTCTGGGTGTAATGAGGGGTTACTGTAAGTTCTACACAGTCCCGCCCATGGCCTGCTTGGCATATATAGCCCAGATCCCCACAGCTTTTATAAAGATGAGACTGGGGCACAGCTCGGTGGCAGAGCGCGAAGTGAGTGCAGCTGGGAGGTCCATGCCACGCTGCGAAGGTTTTTTGACTTTTGTTTGTTTTGGGGGGATTTCTCTGTGTAGCTGTCCTGGAACTTACCATGTAGACCAGGCTGGCCTCGAACTCAGAGATCCACCTGCCTCTGCCTCTGCCTCTGCCTCTGCCTCCTGAATGCTAGGAGTAAAGGAGCACACCATCATTTTTTTTTTAAACCCACAGTGTGCTAGGCTCCTGGGCTCTAGGGGTGATCAGAGATGTAGACTAGACCTGGCTCTGCAGAACTCATACCAAAGGAAGGGAGGCGGAGAAGCTGGAAGGACTGAGATCCATTTGGGCAAGGGCCGAGAGGCTTCCTGGAGGAAGGGATGTGGAAACCTAACCTAGGCCCAAGGATTCTTGGCAAGAGGTTCACTGGCACAAATATGAGTGAGTAGCTGGACAGGGCGGACACGCAGAACCGGAGACCCACAGGCTGGCTCAGGCCGAGACCAGGGTGGTACTTCCCTGCGTTAGCTGGTCACAGCCGAAATCCTGTGTAAAACAGCTGTGTCACCGATCATCCCCAGAGGTCCAGCGTGAAGCCACACTGAAATGGATGGTCATTACCGACACTGTTGTTAACACTAGGGGCCTCGTCTCTTCCATTAGTGTGGAAAAGGGTCGTTTGAATTCACACAGCTGTCTGGTGGGTAGGCCTGCCTCTGGTCAACCCTATGAAGCTATGGTTGGCAAGCCATTTTCTGTGGAGGGTGGGAGGGAGGGGAGAGGGAAGGAGAGGGGTGAGATCCTGAGGATAGGACTCTGGCGTTTCCGTCCTCCTTCCGTCTCCAGCCATTTATGAACACCTGCCACACCCAGGTGCAGTTCTCAGCAGGAGGGGTCAGAAGTCAGTGAGAGGCGCAGGCCCTGCCTCCACGTAGAGTAGGGGCACCTAATGTGTTACCTGTGGGGATTCCATATCCTCGTTCAGGATGAGCTAGTTCCTTGGGGGTGTAGAGGGGTGAAGAAAGACTCAGAGAAAGGAATGAATTTCCTCAAGGTCACCAACCAGTGAGTGCAGATTTTAGCTGGGACCTGTTCATCTGGGAGATGGGTATCCGGCTGCTAGGTGAGGGAACCAGGAAAGTTGTAGGGTATGGTAGGGGGTGTGTGGGCAAGCTAGGGATGGTTTGGGGCTCTGAGTTTCAAGTTTGCCTCTGCTTATCCTGTAAAGAATGAATCCGAGCCTAAGGGAAGGATGGGTGTGTCCCTACTTAGGTCTGCACAGTAAAAGTGCCATCTGTGCAATGACATTTGTGAACTTTGCCCTGAAAATCTTTTCAGGATCTTAGGTTTCCTGGTAGAATAGCAAATAGACTGGGGGTTGGGAGACTAATCAACAAAGAGTGTGATTAGTACTGTCTGCCCTGGGCATCAGAACAGGGTGCAGGGGTGTCCTGGGCTCAGTGAGGAGTGTGATTAGTACTGTCTGTCCTGGGCATCAGAACAGTGCAGGGGTATCCTGGGCTCAGTGAGGAATGTGATTAGTACTGTCTGCCCTGGGCATCAGAACAGGGTGCAGGGGTGTCCTGGGCTCAGTGAGGAGTGTGATTAGTACTGTTTGTCCTGGGCATCAGAACAGTGCAGGGGTGTTCTGGGCTCAGTGAGGAGTGTGATTAGTACTGTCTGCCCTGGGCATCAGAACAGGGTGCAGGGGTGTCCTGGGCTCACCTGTACAAGCACTCTCACCAAACATCCTAACTATATACCTGAGTGCATTATTTTGACTCTGTTTCCCCCTACCAATGATTCCTGTTACTACTAACATTCCTGACACTAGTTGGCATGATTTGGGACCTTGTGAGAGGGCAACAGACTCTTGGATGGGCTGAGGAGAGGGTCTTTTTTGGGGTTATTGGTGGAGCCAAACTATATTTCTTAAAAAAAAATTAGTCTTATGTATTGTGCATGTGTGTGTATGTGTTCTTGTGGGCACGTGCATGTGGAGGAGTTGATGTCAGATATTTTCCTCGGTTGTTCTCTAGCTTTAAAAAAAAAAAATTCTTTTTGCCGGGCAGTGGTGGTGCACACCTTTAATCCCAGCATTCGAGAGGCAGAGGCAGGTGGATCTCTGTGAATTCGTGACCAGCCTGGTCTACAAGAGCTAGATCCAAATCAGACAGAAGAAGGCTCCAAAGCAACAGAGAAACCCTGTCTCAAAAAAAGAAAGTTCTCTGTAGGGTCTGTGTATGTGTGTTTGTGTGTGTGTGCATGCACGTGTGTGTGTGTGTGTGTGTGCACGTACTCCATAGCACACATGGGACGGTCGAAGGACAGTTGTTTCCTTCTTCCTTCATGTGGGACTCAGAGGTAAAACTCAGGGTTAGTTTATCAGTCTTGGTAATAGAAGTGCTTTGACCCTCTGAGCCATCGGGTCGACCAATATTTACAGTTTTTTGGGTGCATGTTAACTAGATAAAAATGTCATCCAGCTCTTGAGAAACACATTGGGATCTTTATGGTGATGGGAAAAGGGATACATTACTTAGACAGCCAAACTCTTTGGGCCTGAGTGTGTCTAAGTGACAGGGTCTGGTGTTTAGATGGTGCTTGCCTTTGGGGGGAGGGACACTGAGAGTTGCAATAAGGTTAGAATCTGGTCTTAGATATTCTCATGGATGCCACTGGCTTAGCCAAACCAGGTAGCTGCTCTCCTTGGTTTTCTTGGAGGGCGGTGGCATGTTCCCTTCTGTTTGAGCCTGCTGGGTAGCCTCAGCTGGAAGAGCCTCCTTTCAAGCTTGTCCGAGCTGTGCCTTCCTTTTGTGTCTTGCCTCTGCCCTTATGTCCCTCAGTGCTGCTCTGAGCTCTCTGCTTGACCCGGGTCAGTCCGTCCTTGTTCAGGCTTATCTTCCATGAGGTTTTTTTTTTTTTTTTTTTTTTTTGTTGAAAGTTTTGGACATTCTTCCCCTGGGTCTGGAATTTGCCAACATCTTGGGGGTGTGTATCCCCGATAGCTGTGCTTTCTGTGCAGTGATGAGCTGACTGCTTGTCCCTTCAACTCTCTGAGGGAGCATTCTTTTTATCATCTGTGTGCATGTGTGTGTGTGCGTGCGTGCGTGCGTGCGTGTGTGCGTGTGTGTGAAGGATAAGCGACTTGTCCAGCATCACAGAGCCAGGGGAAGGAAACCTGCCCCAACCCAGGCTGTCTGAATCACAGCTGGAAGCTTGCTTATCTTCGCAAGCCCCCTTTCCTTGTTATCAGTTAGCTGTATTTGAGCCCCAAGCAGGAAGGCTGGCTTCTGTTTATCTGGCCGCTGTTGTGAATACTGTTGAGGAGCTGGTCTTGAAGGCAGTGTGGTTGGCCTGCCTCAGTGAAGGAGGGGACTCCATACTTGGGACCAGACCATCTTAACTCCTCTCCCCCTGTGTAGCCTTTCTTCACCATAAATGACAGTGAGGGTTTCCCCGCCCCCTGCTGGCTCCTGCCTGAGCTCTTTCAGATGGCACGTGGCTGCCACATGCCTGTGCCACCCATAAAGGTAACCTTGTCTTTGCTGGACTTCCTGCAGGCGAAGCTGGTGCGGTATATCTGCAAGCAGCGGCAGTGCAAGCTGAGCGTGACCCCCAGCGACAGGACTGCCGAGCTCAACAGCTACCCGCGCTTCACTGACTGGCTGTATATCTTCAACGTGAGGCCCGAGGTGGTGCAGGTATGCAGCAAGACCCAGGCCAAGAACAGACAAAAGGGGACAAGCAGGGGTCACATCCAAACCTGAGGACGAGGCTCACATGGCTAAGATATGGGGGCTACATGCTCTGTTCTTGGGAAGCGGGGTGGTATGGGCTTTGGGGAACAGCAGCATCCAGTAGAAACCCAGAGTACCTGTGGCTACAGCAAGTGCCCCACGTGCCAGTGCCTCATAAACTGGGACAGCCTGACCACACTGGTCAATCATTTGATCACATGATAATGACCTTTTCTGGAATCCTTGATTCTATGGCAGACATTGTATTTAACCCTGACATTGTAACCTTGGGGCTAGAGAGATGGCTCAGAGGTTAAGAGCACTTTTTGCTCTTGCAGAGGACCTGGGTTCAGTTCTAGGACCCAGTACCCACAGAGTGGCTCACAACTATCTGTAACTTGAGTTCCAGGGGATCAAATGCCCTCTTCTGGCCTCCACAGTCACCAAGCATGCATGTGGTGCACACACATACATGCAAACAAAACACTCATGCACATAATAAAAGAAAATGAAATGGTTATCTTACTCTGCCCAGAGTTCTATAAAGAGGGTTTTGCCATTCTTCTGTCTTCTACTCCACTGGCAAGTGGCAGCCAGGGGACTGAGAAACAAGAATCCAAGCTCAGTTTACTCTCCCCACTGCTGAAATGTGTTCTTTCTTTTGTGGTTCATCTTTCCATCCATCCATTCTACCCACCCACAACTTACCAGTTAACTAAGCAGTATTCTTGAAGAACGTATCAGGGTCCAGGGCAGCCTTCGTGGAGCTACCATAGCAACCATGTGAAGCTGTGCCTCGACAGGTCAAGTCTCTAAAATGTAAAAGACTAACCTGCTAGTGCTTAAAGCTAAGTCCATTGTGTGCAGGCTCTGAGGAAAACAGAAAGAAGGGGAAGACTGTCCATTGGGACCGGCTGTGTACTGCTCACCTAGCACATCTGTGGGGCAGCTCCCGTTGGGACCGGCTGGTGTAATCTTAGGCTTCGCTCTCATCATTTGGCAGTGAACCCACTGCGTTTTTCTCATGTTTTCACACTTCCGTGTCTTATTTATTGCTTCTTTATTACTGTTTTACAGAGTGGGTGTGGTAAGTTATCAGACGAAAGTGAATTCCAGCCGTTGGCTATTAGGTGTGACAGTGACCAGTACTAGCACGACGGTCTTCATAAGTACTTGACAATTTCCCTAGGAGACATTCCTGAATAGAAAAAGGACTCCAACATAAAGTGTGCCTTGTCCTGTCATAGGGTTGGGGAACGAGTGGATCCCAGCCTGACTGGCCCAGTTACCCTCATGTGTGTCATGGTCCACGTTATAGGCAGAAAGGGAGGCTGGAATAGGACTGAGAGAATCTGCTCTGTACAACAACCAGTTGCACTCCCGCACACACGTGGGTGCACATAACACACACACAGAGAGTATAATGAGCTACAACCTCTGTCTGTCTCCTCGCCTACCTCCTTGTTCCTCAGTCTTCTGCCATACAGGAAGGAGGTTGGGCGTACAATTTGGGCACAGATATAAGTACATAGACTTGGCAATGGTGCAGAAACAAACTGAGCCACCACCCCAGCCCCCGCTGCCGCCGTCATCTGAATCACCCTGTATCTCCTCCATACCCAGGATCTACATCAGGGACGAGGACAAATGCGTGCATGGTTCAAGTTCACGGTGCTAGGCTCTAGCCTGTGCCCTTTCACCCCCTTTGTTCTCTGAAGATATACGTGGCAGCTGGTCTTATGCCTCAAAGGACTTCTCTGCAAAAGCCTGAAGAACTGGGAGACTCCATCTTTGGGAGAGGCCCCAGTGTGCCCAGGGCAGTGGGTGGCAGTGTGGAGCTTTGCTGCAGCTGCTGCTGTCGCCCCTGAGAGCTGTGTGATGGCAGCCAGGTTGGAAGCCTGCCAGCCAGGCCAAGTTGTACGAGGCGCTAAGTCAAGCACTGACTGAGTCCTGAAGCCCTAAATGACTCAGCAGAGCTGGGTGCTCAGTAAGCAGTGAACGCCTTGGCTCCAAGGAGCTGATAGACAGCATGGCCTACGGGTAGGTGGATGATGGGAGGCAGGATGCCCCTTTGGGAAGGAGAGCTCTGGAGAACAGAAGGTGAGGGCAAGAGGACAGGAACACTGCCTGCTGCCTGTGACCTCTCACCTGGAGACATTAGCACCTGAGAAGGCAGCTCCTCCAGCAGAGGCTGCGTCCTGCCCACTTGCATGTGTGGGTGGGTGCCGTCTTCCCCTCTGTCTCCCCACTTCAATATCTTGTTGGGCAGTAGTTAGGATCCCCCTTTCCCATCTCTCCTCTGGGTGATCCTAAGAAGTTCCATGTCTCTTTGCATATGTACTCTATCACAGACACCAGGGACCCCAGCCCTTCCTCCACCCTGCAGGAGGCGTGGGACTTCGATGGAGTGGGACACCTCTTACTGTGCCCAGGCCGTGACCATGGAAGGTTAAGTAGCATTATCTCCTGGGCCGTTTTGCCCTAGTTCTTAACCTACCTGCTGTTAAGGAAGCTAACAGGTCCCCACCCTTGGATGGAGAGTACAGAGGTCCTGCTGACGCCCTTGTGAAATAACTGCAACTTCAGCATCCCAGCCTGCCACAGGGAGGGCCTAGAGCCTGGCAGCCTCTCCAGAAGGCTGGCTGCATGTCTCTGTGTGGCAATATAGATCCTTCTAGAGAGACCCTGACATTTGACCTGGAAAGAGTCTCCTCTGAGGGATACGGACTGCAGAACTCAGCTCCCTAAAGAAACCGTTTCCAGGGCATGGGAGCATGCACTTCGGACAGGGTCAGTAGCCAGGAACCCGTGGTAGCATCTGCTTTTTGTTCTGGATAGGAATTACACATTCTGTGGCCGCCTGGCTGAAGGTGCCCTCTGAAGGCCCAGGGTGTGTAGGGGTTGGCTGCTGCTGGAGCTATTCTCCAGTGGGAACAGAACAGTTCTGAGTACTGTTGCTACAGGTGTGCAGGCGCGAGGGCACCCAGAACCCGAGGTGCTGTGGATGTGCCGAGGGCCCTTCATCCTTTGCCACCTATGTATCCCTAAGCAAGTCGCTTTCATCCCTCTGGGCCTCTGTTTACCCTCGTTAGAAATGGCTTAGATAGTTTTCTCTGCCCTTTCCTCCTCAGGCGGGTGTTTGTTTGTTTGTTTGTTTTAGATTTATTTTATGTGCATTAGGGCTTTGCCTGCATGTGTGTCTGTGTGAGGGTGTCATATCCTGGAAGTGGAGTTACAGACAATTGTGAGCTGCCATGTGGGTGCTGGGAATTGAGCCTGGGTCCTCTGGAAGAGCAGCCAGTGCTCTTAAAGGCTGAGCCATCTCTCCAGCCCTCAGGCTGGAAGGCCAGAGCAGTAGAGTTGTGTACTGTGAGGTGCTCCGGTGAGGCTGTGTGGAGCCATGCTGTCCCCTCCCATGGAACCCTCCAAACAGGGGACACTGTGCCTCCTCACTGTGCCTTCTCCAACACTTCAGCCCATTGTCCTTCCGGAAGGACTTCACAGTGCTTTCCCACTGGGCTGCTATGAACATGTGTCCCGTGGTCAGAGCAGGGACACATTCCCCGGCCCCCAACCCCACACCCAAGCTTGTTTCCACCTCACAGGCCTAAGCCAGGCTTCTTTGGTTGTGGATTCTCACAGATCGGTCTTGTGTGTTTTCACCCCTTTGTTGATCAGGGAACTAGAGACCCATGGATACCGATGGGTGCCTTTAAACTGCGTCTCACACAACACAGCGGCAGGGTCGTGAGGAAGTGAGCACACAGAGGCCTCCCTGTTTCTGTACTCTGAGATAACCGCCCTGCTCACAGTAGGCAGGGACGCTGGCCAGACCTCTCCAGGCTTGCTGCAGTCATTGAGACTGACAGTTCACATTCGTTCCCTTCCTGTCTTTTGTTTGCTGTAATGGGATCACACAGTACGAATTCTGCACGATGTTAGTCTTTTTCTCGCCTTGGTATAAATCCAGAAAATCCACTTGACTTTTTTTTTTTGAACAGCACAATGGTGAGAGAATTCTTTAGGATGTCTGACAATGGGCTGGGGCTGCAGCTCAAGGGTAGATAGAGTGCTGCTGCTGAAGAGTGACCACGAACTCGCCCCAGCCTGCGGATGAAGCTGCAGTGATGGCTAGCCTACTCCGTGGGAGCAGGGACATCCCAGCGAAGGGTAGTTGTTGGGGTCTGCTAGTTAGTTCCCTGCTGCTTAGCCCAGAAATAATCACACAGAAACTGTATTAGTTAAATCACTACCTGGCCCATTAGCTCTAGTTTCTTATTGGCTAACTCTTATATCTTAATTTAACCCATTTCTATTAATCTGTGTATCGCCACGTGGCTGTGGCTTACTGGCTAAAGTTCCAGCATCTGTCTCCAGTGGGCCTACATGGCTTCTTCTTGACTCTGCCTTCTTCCAACATTCAGTTTTGAGTTCCCCACCTACCTCTATTCCCTGTGCAGGCCCAAGACAGTTTCGTTATTCACCAATGGTATTCACAGCATACATCAAGGAATCCCACATCAGGTAGTTGTAAAGGAAGACCTCCCCCCCAGTCCCAACCCTACACACACACACACACACACACACACACACACACACACACTGAGCCCTTGGGTTATATACTCAGCACTGGAAGGAAGGAAGGAAGGAAGGAAGCAAGGAAGGAAGGAAGGAAGCAAGGAAGGAATCTGTTGTTATGAATGATTGTGTTTGGATGGGACTACTTGCTTACATGGCTGAGAACCTGTGCCCACGGAAGCCACATACTAGCCCCAGAGTGCCTGGCATCAGTGGGGACAGAGGTTGGAGATGTTGGGTTCCTCTCAGTATCTCACCATCTCTGCACACCAGATCCAGGATGCCTGGCAGCTGAAGGGTCCAGCCTTGGCATCTCACCACAGGATGGTGTCTCTTAGGGCTGCTCCTGAAGCCTCTATGCATGACGGGGAGTGGTCATTTTGTGG